TGGCAGGCAGCCTCATTTATGGTGTGTGCCATTAAAGGTAATAAGAGTAGGAGAGAAAAACTTGTCAGTTTTAAGGGCAGCAAGCCTGGCAGTGAACAGTTTTAATTATTTTCCTTGAGTAAAACTGTCATTAGTCATATAAAAAGCCCCAAGATTATAGCAAGCGCCAGCTACACAAGACCTCTGAGTCCTTTCTTTTTCTTTAAGTTCCCCATAGGTAAACTTCTTTCCAAAATTCACCCTTTGCAGTCTACTTCAAATCTCTAGATCATATCTGGAGCTACTGGCCCAGCATTTTTTTTCTGTGATTGTGAGATTCTGATTTAGCTTCCTAAGTCCTGAGTGAAACCCTTCCTGATGTGTGAAGACCCCCACTGAACTGAGAATCCCCCACCATCACACCATTTCACCTGAGGACATGGCAGCTATGTAACACCCTACCCATCTAACAAATAGTCAGTGTGCTAGAGATAGAAGAGCTGGTAATGACAAGAGACGGAGTATTAGTCTCTGTTGGAGATGTTTCTCTGGGACAGGATTGAGTAGATGATGTCCAAGTAACATGTGTTTGTCGTCCCTGACATAGACTCATCCTTAGACACACATTATTAAATTTTTAAATCTTTTAAATTTCAGTTTATGTGTATGGGTGTTTTGCCTGTTGGTATGTCTGTGCAGCACTTGTATGGCTGGTTCCAGCAAAGGTCAGGAGAGGTCAATGGATCATCTGATATTGGAATGACAGATGTTTGTGAATGAGCGTGCAGGTCCTCTGGCAGAGCAGCCAGTGTTTTTAATCACTTAACCCTCTACCCAATCTCTTAGACACAATTTTAAAAGAGATAAATTTACAAGCACATCTCAGTCTCTATTCTTGATTTCCCATAAAAATATTCTCAAGTGTATTTTCTTGGAGGCATAGACTTACTCATTTCTTCAAACACGCACTTATTTAAATATTAAAAATAGAATGTCGGTTGCCAGAGCTTTTAGGAAAGTTTAATGAAAGAGTAATATTGAAGGTCCATTAAGGGAAAGAGGGTATCCCCATATGATGAAAAAAAGAATCTACTTCTAGGTAGAGACATGTCATTTTTCTCACCATCATAAGTTAATCCAGCTGAGCCAGCAAACCAAGTGGTCAAGGTACCACCCATTGAAGGTGAGCTCATACTAATCCACTCTACACAGTTAGGAGAAAAATTATGCCTTTAAAGAGATAATGTCCTTTTATTCCCCAGATTCCCCACTCTGTAGTGCAGTACCTTCACTCTTTCAAGAAGTTCTGTTAGGTCTGCCTCTCTTTCTGAGTCCTAACTCAGAATCATGTAACTTTTTCCTTTTCTTTCCTTCTTGCCCTTTTGGGTGTTGGCCTGAATCTGAATTTAAGTGTGCTTTTTTTTTTTTTTTTTTTTTTTTGCTATCTGGGCCTCTTTACCCTTTCTCTAATGCTTTCCCCTGTGGTGTGTGGTTGCTTGTCCATCACATGGCTGACTTCTCCACAGGCTATAGTGCAAAGGGTACAGCTTCCCCTCTTCCTCTTCTGTATATTTCTTTCATAGACAGGTGCAGGGATTTAGAGCTCGTTTGGTTGGGGATTTTCTTTTCTTTTTTCAGATGAATTATGCTGTTAATTTTATTTTTTTCCTTTTTTCTTTTTTAATATATATTTATTATTTTTTCTTATTTTACGTATCGATCACAGTTCCCTCTCCCTCCCATGCCCCCATCTCCCCTCCCATCCCATACCCCCCCACACTCCACAGGGAGGGTGATGCCTTCCAGGAGGGATCATAAAAATCTGTCAAGTCATTTGGAGTATGGTCTAGGCCCTTCCTCCTGTCTCTAGGCTAAGGGAGTATCCCTCCATGGGCAATGTGCTCCCAAAGTCGTGTACCAGGGATACATCCTGATTCCACTGTCAGAGGTCCCTTAGACTGCCCAGGCCTTCTAATTGAGACCCATGTTCAGGGGGTCTGAGTTGGTCCAATGCTGGATTCCCAGCTATCAGTCTGGGGGTCCATTAGCTCCCTTGTTTGGGTCAGCTGGGTCTGTGGGTTTCTGTAGCCTAGTCTTGACCCCTTTTCTTATTACTCCTCCCTCTCTGCAACTGGATTCCAGGAGTTCAGCTCAGTGTTTAGCTGTAGGTGTCTGCTTCTGTTTCCATCAGCTACTAGATGAGGTCTCTATGGTGGCATATAAGTTAGTTATTAATCTCATTATCAGGGAAGTGCATATAAGGTAGCCTTTCCACTGTTGCTCAGATTGTTAGTTGGGGTCATCCTTGTAGATCTCTGGACATTTCTCTAGAGTCAGTTTTCTCTTCAAACCTATAATGGCTCCCTTTATTATGGTATCTCTTTTTTTCCCCTCTCGTCTAAGAAAGTGCTCAACATCCTTAGCCATCAGGGAAATGCAAATCAAAACAACTCTGAGATATCATCTTACTCCTGTCAGACTGGCTAAAAGCAGAAACACCAATGAAAGCTTATGCTGGAGAAGATATGGAGAAAGGGGAACACTTCTCCACTTCTGGTGGGAGTGAAAACTTGTGCAACCATTTTGGAGATCAGTATGGTGATTCCTCAGGAAAATGGGAATCAGTCTACCACAGGACCCAGTAATTCCACTCTTAGGCATATACCCAAAAAATGCACATCCATGCAACCAAGACATTTGTTCAACTACGTTCATAGCAGCATTATTTGTAATAGCAAGAACCTAGAAGCTACCTGATGCCCTTCAACTGAAGAATGGATAAAGAAGATGTGGCACATTTACACAATGGAATACTACTCAGCGGAGAAAAAACAATGGAATCTTGAAATTCACAGGCAAATGGATGGAACTTGAAAATACCATCCCGAGTAATGTAACCTAGTCATGAAAAGAGGAACATGGTATGTACTCACTCATATATGGATTTTAGACATAGATCAAAGGATCACCAGCCTATAATTCCCACCGCCAGAGAAACTAGGATACAAGGAGGAACCTGAGAGATTCATACAAGGTCCCTCACAAAAGGGGAAATGAAGAAGATCTCCTGAGTGGAGAGGGCAGTGAGTGGAGAGGGAGTTGGGAGAAAGAGAATGGGAGGAGAGGAGAACATCTGGGACCAGGAAGATTTAGTTAATTGAGTTAGGGGACTTAGTTAATTGTCTTAGAGGGGCTTTTCTTTTAAACTAGTAAGATGATTGAGTTTCCATTTGAGTCCATTGTTAAATCATTTATAAATGAGACCAGGAACATCAAGTGGTCTGCTTTCCTAAGTAGCATATGGTGATGTGATCATGAAAGGGCAGCCACAATTTCCAGTAGCACTAACAAATTCGGCTTGGCTACTCATTATCAGCAGACCAACTGTAGAGTCAGATGCAGCCAAGCCAAGAGCAGAGAAGAGTCATTCAGTGTAGAAGATCGGGCCATACACTCAAGTTCATCATGGAGTGTTGACATGAGCTTTGGGTTAAATGGGTGGCAAGAGCTATGCCTAACTATTACTTAGTCTTTGCCAACATGTGGTTTTGCCCACCTTGGTCATAGTTCCATCCCCTGCTGCAAGGTGGTCTGATGACATTGCAGAACTGGATGAAAGTCTTCCTGGGAGAGAAGTGCCTTCTCTGGCTGGCACCAGGCTGCATCCTATTTCTTCCCCCATCTTGAAATGCCTAAGGAAGTTCCAATTCCCTGGGAACTGCTGTTCAGTAATCTGAGAGCTGAAGAAGGGGCACAAGTGCTTCACCATTAGAATGTGTTCATTTCTTCCAGGGTAGCTTCAGATCAAGACAGGTAATGTATGCTAACAACAAGAGCAAGCAGACTCCCATTAACCTGCTTTGATGAAGTTTAGACTCAGTGGTAAAGTGTCATCATTGTGTAATTACCTAGTCAACCATAACCAATTAAACTGAGGAGAAAAATGTGGGTCAGGGAAAGAGATTGAAGGAAAGATATGTTAGTCCAGAGCCTGAAGAGGTGCTCAGGCCAAGGGTTTGGCCTTGAGGAAAGATTGGGCAATGTATCCTTTAAAAAGGAAAGGGAAGTGAGCTGCTGCCTAGTTTCAACCAATCACCTGAGGGCAGACTACATCACAAATACCAGTAGAGAATGCCAAGGATAATTTTCTTTGCTGCAAGGGAAAACTTCATGGGAAAGTTATACTAGGGTTTTATTGGATAAGGTGTCTACCACAGACATAAAGAAGCTGGAAAATCAGAGGAAGCCTTAGACAAGATGAACTACACCAAGATTGTGAAATTCTTGCTCTTAGCACATCAAGAAAATTTGCTTTCTTTTTTTCCTTAGGTCCCCTCTCAGCTTCCTGAAGGCGTACCATAAAATCTGTTGCCAAAGGCATTTACAATCAAGTTGTCATGTTTACAGGTCCTTGAAAAGCTGGTTTTATTCTTTAATAAATGAGAAAAGATGGCTTTGTTTCCTACAAAATAGGTGAGGTTTTACTCAACCAAATCTGTTTGGAAATGTTAAGCTGGTTACACAGAACTAATGTGCCTCAAGGTGGTCATTCTCTCTGGATTAAAGCCTGGGAACAATTGTGGCTCCTGTTACAAGGAAAATTACAATGGGCCATTATGGAAAAGGACAAAAATCTCTGTTCCCAGAGGGGGACTGACAAGCTGCAAGTCCCTCCCCCCCCCCTGCATACCAACACAAAAGCATGATTGCTTCAGATTGTTTGTTTATGAAAATTGAAGGGCAACATTAATTCTGAGAGTGGGGCTGTGGGGGGCTAAGTGGGGAGGTTACTGATTGGCTGGTTTTTCTCCTGGGCAGGCAAGCAAGCTGACGTGCCCTATCACATTCCTTCTGAGCCCAGGAAAACCTTTAGAAGGAAACTTGTTATTAGATTTCAGAGTGAAAGTTTATGTTTTTAGGATAGGTTTTGGAACTATAGGATCTGCAGCATTAGATCTTATCAAAGACAAGTTCCCTTACTTTCTCCATTGCTTTTCTCAAAGCAGACCTCAGTGATCATCATGACAGATGCTCCTGTGACACTGAGTGGGACAGAGTGTAATGGGGACAGACCACCTGAGAATGGCCAACAGCATATCACTCAAACCAGCAAGGACATAGCTGATGCAGATGAAACTCAGCCATACTACAGGATTGAGCCCAATCTTGAAGATTCACCTGCAAGAGGACATCAAGAAGATCGTGGAAACACTAAAGAAAACATACTACTACCCAAAGAGCCTGCAGGTGAGAAGATTCTGCATGGTAAAGTATTTCCTCTTCTCAGTTGATTTGTTTTGATTTACAAACCAACTTGGTCCCCCCTCTTTTATATAAACAAGTATTATATAAGTAAGCTGGACCTTAGAAATATAGTCCTGTATCCCAATAGGGGCTTCCTATCATGGAGACTCATAGTCTAGGTTTGTCTGGTAGCTCTGTACCTGTTCTTTCTCTTCTGAACTCTTTCTGAACTTTCACTCAGAATAAGAAGAATAATAGTAACCACCTTTATTGAGTTGTTAGAATAATTTCTAAATGTTAATTCAATCTTAACCACTGCTATTTATTGTTAGACCTAAAAGTCCATTATTGTTTGAAAAAGGAGAACTCAGAATTTTAAGGTTTCCTTCTGTGCATGTCAAAAGAGCTCTGAATGCATAGTTCTGTATTTACTAAATGCATGTATATATACAGGATTTATAATACATATGATATGTATAATCATAAATATATATAGTATTTAAGGAGATATATATACACATATATATGAAAGACTCTCATTATGGAAGCTAATTATTAAATATACACATCACATTTTTAAAAAATCAGAAAAGTAGAATGATAATTTTAACTAAGCATAATTACAACTGAAAACATTACCTAGAATCAGAATTGATCATTTGTGAACCTTTATCCATATGTGTTGTCAATGTTACAATATTTGTGTTTCCCCCAGAAAACCCAGAAGAGAATGTCTTTGTTGTTCACAAGACCATCAAAGATCTTTCTCTCCAAGAAGCAAATGCTGAGGACATGGCATTCAGAGAAGGTAACAGGAATCCTAGTTTCCGAACATAACTGTTCCACCAGATAGGATGACAACACTGCATGCAATGCTTGGTGTGTGTGCTCTTGGGAAGCAATTCCAAACAATGACTTCAAAATCTTGAAACTGCTTTGGGCAAATTTGAAAATGTTTTGTCTTCTGTGGGTTCTACCTTACCCAGCTTTCCAGATGCCTCAAGCCCCAAATTGTATGGATTGGTCTGACTGGCTTGTCAACACGATAGCCATGTCTTGATAGGTGAGCTCCCTACATCAAGCTTTCTTTTCAGTGTGGTGCTCCATATTGGTGTGGGGCAGCGTTCAGGATGGTTTAAAAACAGGCTCAGTATCAAGTCTCCTTTTGACATTCAGTCTAAAGTAACTTTATGAAATGAGCTACTCTGTGGGAAAATTACATAGGAAAAAGGTACAGAATTGTTAACTATTTCTTGTCCCAGAAACTTGCCCCAGAATGATGAGCTTGATTTTTTGCTGTTTACACAACTGTGAGACAAAAGGTACATGGAAGTGGCTATGTTACTTTTCAAGGAGAGCCAGTAGACAAGGTCACAAAATCTTCTAAACATTTTCTTCTAAGGAGATATTTATGTTCAAATCCTTTCTGTGTGCAGAGCAGAATAGAATCTGTCAATTAATCATTCATCCCCTCTCTTGAAGTTGTAAACAGCTTATTTCCAATTTGAAGTCAGCATGTAGTGCCTAACCAATTTAGTTTAGGACCATACCAGGGAAATCATAGGGGAGCCGCCAAAGGGACCAAAGGGACATTAGAACACCCTGTAAATAGCAGATTCCAAGGGGAACAGGGAGGTGCCTGGGGATTTCAGAGTTTTTCTCTTTGCTTTACCTAGACTACTCCCACACTCTGCTGGAAAACATGTAAACAGTTACAGGAAAGTGTGGCCAGCAGCAGCTGGTATTACAGAGATATCATGAAATACTATCTCACCAGAGAGGAGTAGTCTGTAAAAGTTAAGACGCAACAAAAGGAATTACATAATTTTTTTTTTACCCTTCAATCCTGCTTTTAATGTGGCAAGTCTATCAAAGAAGGGCTCACCATTGTCCACATATAGCTTCTTTATCTATCAGGGGACCTGCTGCAAAAAAAAAAAAAAAAAAAAAAAAAAAAAAAAAAAAGCTCTTGCCAACCAGGTGGAGAGTGAGGGACCCTCTCTATGGTACGTGGTGGTGTCATCAATGAATTTGACCCTACTTAAATCCTTCCCCTCTGTTTTCTGTTTTCTTTTTAAATTTATTTATTTATTTTACATTTTGGCTGCAGTTCCCCTTCCATCCTCTCCTCCCAGTCTCTTCTCCCAACCGCTGCTCCCCCTGCTCCCCACCAATGGGAACAGTTTCCTCCACTCCTCCTGTGTTCAGGAAAAGGCAGGTCTCCCATAGGTATTAACAAAACATGGCATATCCAGTTGCAGTAAGACTAAGCCCCTCCCCGTGTATTAAGGCTGGGCAAGGTGACCCAGTTTGAGGAGTAGAGTCCCAAAATCTAGCAAAAAAGTTAGGAGTCAGATCCTGTTCCTGCTGTTAGGAGTCCCACAAGAGGTCCAAGCTACACAACTGATACATACATAAAGTTTCCAGGTCATTTCCATGCAGGCTTCCTGGTTGTCAGTTCAGTCTCTGTGAGGCCCTTGAGCCCAGGTTAGTTGATTCTGTGGATTTTCTTATGGTGTCCTTAATCCCTCTGGATCCTACAATCTTTTCTGCCCCTCTTCTGCAGGATTCCTTGACTTCCAATTAATGTTTGGCTGTGGGTCTGCATCTGTTTCTATCAGTTGCTAGATGAAGCCTTTCTGATGACGATTGGGCAAGGCACCAATCATGAGTGCAGCAGAGTGTCATTAGACATCATTGCCTTGACATTTCACCCTCCAGTCATATTTGGTTCTATCCCAGGTCTCTGGGTCATCCACTCTGTGAGTCCTGATACAGCATACTTCTACTCTGTAACAGAAGTGCTGGTTGCAGTGCCCTTTATTTTCAAGATGGCAAACATCTATAAAATCTCCAAAGAAGATGATACCCACTAAGAGTATAAAGATGCTGAAAGTAATGAGGAAAAACAAAGGCTACTATCACAGCAAATATCCAATGCACACTGCAATGTGAAGAATAGCAAGTGGAGGATTGACAGCAGCTGTTTAGGACTAGTGTGGGTGGTAATTCATGCTTACTCCTCTCTTTCACAGTACATGGAAACTTGGACTCAGAGAAAAAAACAAAAGCCTTTGATGAAAACAGATTTATAGGGAGAACTGTGAAGGGAGAACAAAGCTGACAATTGCCCCCCCCAGTTTGTAGGGTGTTCTTGCATAGAAACAAGAAGGTGAAGCCACACACTCTAGTATGTTCACTGTGGGTAGTTGGTTTCCCACAGAAGCCTGTCATGTATGCATGTTCAGAAAAGCTTGTGCGCCCTTACAATTCATTCTTGTACATTAAGAAATACTATTGTAGCATGTTAATACATTCCAGCTGTTTAGAAACCAATGATTAGAGTGCTTTAAGCCTTCTAAAAGCCACAATATGGCACCAAACAATGTTCCTCAGCTATCATTTGCAACAACAGGAGAATCTAGCATCCTGTATATCCAAGCCCAATGTGACCATTAGACCTGGAACCCTACAGGTCATTAGAAGGTCCTAAGCCATGATGTGTATGACTCAGTTGCCAGCACATGAGTTCTGAACATCTATGAACCTTTGATCATCTTCTTAATTTTATTCTACGTATATGAGTGTTTTGCCTGCATGTATGTAAGTGCCCTTATTTCCTGCCTGGTGCCTGAAGGCAAGAAGAATACATTGATCCTCTGGAACTAGAGTGACAGAGAGTTGTATAGGTTGCCATGTGGGTGTTGGAACCAAACCTGTGTCCTCTGAAATAGAAAGTACCTCTAACCATTAAGCCATATCTCCAGCCTGCCTTCGCTCTTTTTCATACTTTTTCATTTTTTGCTTCATTTTATGCATATGAATGTTTTCCTGCATGTATGTCTGTGTACCATGTGCATGACTAGTGCCTATAGGGGCCAGAAGAGTGTGTTTGATTGCCTGGAACTGGAGTTAGGAATGGTTGTGAGACACCATGTGGATGCTGGGACTGGAATCTAGGTTCTCTGGAAGAGCAGCAAGTACTCTTAACAACTGAGTCATCTTTCCGACCCAAGCTGTTCTTGTTTACCACTCAACAGACAGTATCAAATGTCAATTCTACTACTCTGAGTGTGACTAGACATGGGCAGTCATCATTTTCACATTGGAATACAGCTTTTTCTTCTAAGGTATTGTTTTCATTGTCCTTGTAGGATATATTTGTGGATGTGAAGTAAAATCCAAACGTTTTACTGGGTACATATATACACACACATAAAATATATACATGTACACACATGCATGATACAAATACAAACATACATACATATGCACACACTCACATGTAAGTTCATTTCTCATTTTGGCAAGGCAAATATTTTAAGTGTGCTTCAGAGAATGGTAACCCTACTAAATACACTAGTCTATGACAATAAAATTTCAGTCAAATGTGGTTGGGTTGTAGACATTCCTGAAAACATACAATATTTGTTAGCATTTTAAAAACTTCAGTTTAAATATGTGAAATGCAGTGTTTTGCAAACTGTTTTGACTGTGAAGCCTGTTTGATTGTCTAGACTCATCACACAGCCCAGAGTCACAGCCCATAAGGCACAAGTTTGGATCTGATTGTCCAGAAGAATGAGTTAGAATATTATGCAATAGCAGCTAGGTGCTCTGAAACCACAGCACATCTCACAAGTAGTCCATTTTGCTACAGGGCATCCATGGAAGAAGATTCCCCTGAGCAGCAGTGACCTGGAAATGAGTACAGAGAAGAAAAGCCTTGTCTACAAATCTCAGGAGCACAGAGAAGATGAGAACACGGCCTACCAGGCAACTGAAATTGAATGGCTGGGGTTCCAGAAATCTAGGCAAGTTGGCATATTGCATTCTAAATGTGATGAAGAACCAGAAGTCTGGAATGAAGAAATTAATGAGGAAGATATTGACGATTGCAATGATGATGAAGATGAAATTCGAGTAATAGAATTCAAGAGAAAACACAGTGAAGGTTCTCAATTAAAAGAGGAAAACCATGTAAGGCAAGACTCCCCACTAAGCAGCCCCAGCTCTCAGCCGGGGACCCCTGATGAGCAGCCTATGTTAGGAAAGAAGGGAGATATCTTCAGGAATACTTATTCCAGATACAATACAATATCCTATAGAAAAATTAGGAAAGGGAACACCAAACAGAGAATCGATGAATTTGAGTCAATGATGCACTTATAAGCTAAATGGGACTGAGAAACATTATGAGTACTACAGAATAGCTAACTCCATTGTGCTGAGACATCTTCTTCAGCCATATTTGCAAGATGTGCAAGCTTAATGCCTTTTTCACCATAAAACATCATGGAAATAACCATATACAAAATTCATTCTGGTAACCTCAAATCAAAAAAGCTTTTGACTCATTCCTGGTTGTTTGCTCTTTAAAAATTAACTAATGTAGCATTATGTGATAAGCATTGCCCCAGAGGCAGATCTGGTATGATTAGACTTTAAAAGTAGCAATAGTAAGACAGGCAGTCAAGGGAAAAAGAACTGTTGATTATAATTCTTTTTGTGTCTTTATTTCTTCAGGCCAATAGGAAGCCTGATATTAAACCCCTCCTCCATTAAAGCTGGTCTTTAGAAATTCTGCCAATGATATTTTGCTCTTCTATTTATCTTTAAAAAAATACTGCATCTTAAGTTGTTTTCTTTGGTATCTACTGGGTTGGAATATTATACAGAAAATTCAACAGATCAGCTTTCTAGGTGTCACCATTCAGTGAATTTCCTCACTTAAAGGCTGAGCAATTGTCAGTCAGAATTGTGTGTGCTAAGTGCTGGCTTTATGCTTTCAAAATGAATTAAATCCATTGTGAAGTTGATCCAGGGAAGGATCACTGGTGAGTGAGCAATAGACTAGAGAATTTGCATTGGATAATTTTATTTTTGTTACTGAAAACAGAATCTTGTCTAACACAATGAAAATAATTAAAAATAAAAGTGGCAATTTTAGCACAATTTTAAGGAAGTGCCTTACTCCATTACCACACTTTCTTGTATTAACAGTGTTTTGAAACCAATTTCTTTGCTTAGAGATGAGAGACAATGACAGTCATAATTGTACTAGTTACTATGAAGATGGAAATAATTATCTTAGACTATTTTAGAAGTAGGGTATGAGCATGTATTTTTAGTGAAAAAGCTGATAGCTGTGGGGAATATATACTTTATTGGACCAAAGCCCAAACCAAGAAGCTTAAAACTGCACATGTGGAGTTTCATTTGAACCAATATGTCAAATAATGCCTTGAATATTTATGAAAAGCGTGGAAAGCTTGGATAGTTTATTCCACAAATTTTCATTTTGGTCTTCTGTATATATTTCTCTGAACTTTCTGTTACCACAGATAAAAATATCTTTTGGCTCCAAATAAAAGACAATTCTCTATTGTCTGAATGTAATACAGTCTTCATTGTGCTATTCAACCCTTTGTGTCTTTCTCATTTGGTGCAAAAGCCTGGATTAGTCCTACTTAGAGGATTGCTTATTTACGTGTAACAAATCCCACTCATTCTCATGGCAGGTTCCTTAATTCTTCCTGGTCATATAATACACTTCCATAGTATCATATACTATTATGGAATATTTAAAAGACTCAATTTTGAATTTGATCAAAGTGCTTCTTTTAGTCTTGAAACCAATAATGTACAACCTGCCCACATAAGATCTGTTGCCCTTAACACGTTGAGCCTGCTAATTTCATTTGGAACAAATACAAGTTTTCCAAATAAAATGAGAAAAATTCAATATTTATTGATTAACTTGGGTAGGGGATTGATGGACTAGAACAATTTCTTGTTTTAATTTAGATCCTTTGGTCACTACACAGAGGTAACCTATTTGCTTTCCTGGGTTCCCAATGAGCAGTATCATTTTCTATTCAACTTCAAAGCACAGTTTTATGTAACAGGACTACATTGCTGACCTACCCACATGATAACTTGTTTGTTAGATGTAATTGACAAATTTCCATGGAGTTGAAGTGGGATGAGTAATATATGGCTAAGAGTCATGAAGAAACTCTTAACATCTATGGTCCTCCATAACCTTGGACTTTTTAGCTGTGTTCTCTCACCACAGAATTCACTAACTATAAAACATTCTGTCCACAGACTGTTTTAAGGTATATTCAACTGGGAAACCATTCATGCTTACAGACAAGGTCATGAAGTAGCAGGACAGCACCGGTAACACTCTTTAGTATCCTTGCATATTGCCATATCTTATCACATACAGCAGGCCCAGAGTTAACATCTGGATGAAGTGGTGGTGGTAGGTGCATATTTAGGTCCTGGTAATCTAGAAATAGCAAAGGTCTTGTTCCTATTTCACAGAGTACATATTTATATCTGTATCACCATTAATTGATAACCATGCATGAATATTTGCTGAGATTTTCTGATCCAAGTTTCAGGGGTGGTAAGAACACTGGTACTTGATACCCAATGGGAGATTATATGAATACTGGAATTTCTTAAGTGACTTAATTCTCTTTTGTTGCCAGATGAACGGGAATTAAAGACAGCTCTACTTCTTTGTAAATTTTAATTTACTTTTTATTTGTACTATATTTAAAGGCATGGAATTTGCCAAGTTCTATGTTTGTATCTATCATTCTATCTATCTATCTATCTATCTATCTATCTATCTATCTATCTATTATCTACCTACCTGCTGCTAAATAAAGAATTTCCTTGTCTGATTTGCTTTCAATAAAAGTGTATGTTCATTTTCTTTATGTTCCCAAACTATTTTCTTAGAATTTGGTGGGTAGGTGTATATATATATATATATATATATATATATATATATATATATATATGAAAAACTTCCAATACTTTAAAAGAAAATGATATTTTGCTTTAGATGCATATTGGCACTAACAGTATGAAAAACACATGTTTTCTTTGTAGTAATTGAGGTTATGCACTTAAACTTTTCTGACACATTGGTATTCTGTGTTTTCACCCAGGGTGCTACTTGTGGCATATTTTTCATGGAATAACAGACATTAAGCTTTTCAAAGTGATCAAAAAACACATTTAAAATAAGTAATTCTAGGAAAGGATGAAATTCTAGAGTGTAGTAAATAAGAAATGTGTTTAATGTTATGAGAAATGCAACCATTTCTCTTGAGGTCCAAACTTTCATTGTTTTACAATAACAAGAGGGTTATAAAATCCAATGTCAAAAGTTACACTTCCCAATATTAAAATGGCATTTCATGACATGATAGAAGAGAAAAATGTATGTTCATCTCTTGAGGCACATAGGAAGGCAAAGCCAAACAATCAACACACACACACACACACACACACACACACACACACACACACACACAATGTATAGTGGGCACCAGAAGTCAATCACCCAGATAACTGAGAAAACACAATAGTTGGTCAGAAGCAAAAGAGGTCACTATTTAGAATTATTAACTCCAACATTCCTTCTATGAGTTTGCTCTATCATTAACAAACTTGTTGGGGTGATCACTAGCAAAACCATTCCTTTGATATTTGCCTTGTCTTTCTTTAATGATCATTTCCTACACTTAATTTGTATAAAACTAGAAAAATCTTGTCAGTTTTTAAAAGAATCAAGATGTATGTGGAATCCTTTAAACTTCCACAAATGTAATTTGATTTCACTTTTTAAGTCAGAGAAACTGGTCAGGGCGAGTCTACTTGAAATGCTTCTTGTAGAGGGTTCAGAGTAGTAAATGCTATTGAACTCGGAAAGTTCCAACTGTCCCTTGCCATTGTTTTATTTTTTTATGCTGTCACAAGATATTTAGGGCTTTTATTCCCTCCTAATTTAAAGAAACACATGCTGCAGGCTGCTGTTTTGTCTTGTTGACTGTGTCTTTGCCTTACAGAAGCTTCTCAGTTTCAGGAGGTCACATTTATTAATTGTCCATCTCAGTGTGTGCTACTTTTGTTATGTTCAGGAAGCGGTCTCCTATACCAATTCCTTCAAGGGGGCATGTGATGGGGGGGGGTGTCAGTGGGGAGCATGAGAGGATGGGAGAGAGAGGGAACTGGGATTGATAAGTAAAATAAGGATGTATTTTAAATAAAAAAAAGAAGCACATGCACACACAATGCGTGTCAACACACAAGGCATATATTTTCACAACTGATGGTTTCAGACAATTGAGTGAATCTTAAAATATATTTTTATTATGTTGACAAAAATTTTAATTGCAATGTAGAATACAAAGGTCTTACCTGTGTACTTATTTATAACCAATATATTTGAGAGGGTAAATAGCTTTCAGTATAAACAAATTTCTTTTTACTCGTTTGAATATGATTGCTTTATTTATTTGTTTGTTTGTTTTGGATTTTCAAGACAGGGTTTCTCTGTGTTGCTTTAGAGCCTATCCTGCTACTTTATCTGTAGACCAGGCTGTTGTAGACCAGGCTGGCCTCGGACTTATAGAGATCCACCTGCCTATGCCTCCCGAGTACGGAGACTAAAGGCATGTGCCAGCATGGCCCAGCCTTGCATGTACTTGTTATTATTAGGTGTTTCACATATTTTAAGTTGGTCTGCATGTTGGAAAATGGGCATTTTCACAATGGTTTCTGTTTTACAAGAGTGGACTCACATAAACTTGCAGAGGGTTCCTGATTGAGCGAAGAACTGTCAGCTATCATCTCAGGTTAAAAGAGACATTGAATTAGCACTATGGAGTTGCTTTTACTGTCTTTCATTCACAGGCACCCCAGCATCTGAAACATCACCCACCAAGCCTCACAGAGGAACGAAAGCAGGCACTCCAACATCTGAAACACCATCCTCCAAGCCTCACAGAGAAACATAACACTTTATGTGACTTAAGCAAAATGTCCATGGAATGAGTAGTTGTCAAAAATAAACATTCTGTACAATAGCTTTGGTTAGCATTTCCCTTTTCCTAGGTAATTAGCCTGCAGCCATCATTGAATACCTCATGTGGCAGTTGTAAAATCTCTATGACACAATCTGTAAAGTGAGTTGAAGTTAAAATCTGTGACTTGTATTCTAAAGTGAAGGGTTTTTCATTTTAAAATTTTATTTCCCATCTCTGTTAAAAATGAACTGTCTGTTAGTTTTGCTTAAAGGCTGGAAGGGAGAAAGGTGGGAAAAGAGTTGGGCACTGCCCTTCACAAAGAAGCAGCTCTCTGTATTTCTGTTGGTCAGTTTGATCCAGCAGGTGGGGAAGTTCTATTTCACATCAAGGCTGTAGATCACTACAAGATCTACAAGGATTGTCACAGACATCTATACTTTAGCTGCTCAATCGAGAGGCCCAAATGTTGATTTCCTCCTTATGAAACATTCAAAAGAGACTAAAAAGTTTTTGGCCAACCATATTTCCTTATCTTTAATCCAACAATGTGCAACCCATGGGTCTTACTTGAGCTAGCCTACATTGATAGCCCTATTGCCTTAAAAAGGAATGCTCATGGCATTTGGTAGTGGAAATACTTTTGGGCACACCAGATAGAATGGTCCCTGGGTTTTATCCATTGTTGATGAGATGGTTATATCCTTCCTTAGTGTAAGGAAGCTGGTGCTACCTGGCATGCCTCAATCCCATTATCTTGCCTGAGAGTTTCCTAAAAATCATTGTAAGCCATTCATGAAATTAGGACTAGGAATGTTGAAGTGATATCCATGGCATGTTGCACTCTTTAAGCCAACACTTGAAAGAAGGTTTTCTAATATCTAGAAGAATGCTTCCAATGAAGTTTGGGGGGAAGCTAATGATGTATTGCGATTGTGGCATGGATAGTTTTTCAGTCCTATGAATGACAGATAATTGAATGTCAGCAAGCAGAACTGAGCAAATTTGACACTCGTAATAAAACAGCACTGTAGCAACAACAGCTGTGTCATCCCACAGGAGAGGAGGGGGGAGCCTACATAAATGTTGAAAGGAGAAAGCCACTGTAGATGCTGAAGGGTGAGACAGCTCTTCCAGCATTCAGGAAGCTAGTATTTTGATCAAATTAGTTCTGTAAATTATTGGCAAGTCTATTCCATGTTCAAGTTGACAAGGTATATAGGCACGTTTTTAAGAAAAGGTAATAATCTAAACCAAGTCAAGGAAATGTAAAGCCTATGATAACTCACCCTCCTGCTGGAGAATTCACTTGGACCACAAAGTGTTCTTTCCATCAAGGGTTTGTCATTACATGTAAAAGATGCTATACTCATTCTTGTTTTCTAAAGACAAATTTTAAAATGTTGGCAGTAGATTTGACGATCAGTCAGTACTTCCAAGACGAGGCCTACAGATTCCTAGCTCATGACTAATTCTTTGCATTTTAGGGCAAGTGGAAAAATGTACGGCACACAGTTTGTTAACATTTTACCCCTACATGAATACATCATGTTACAAACAAAGCCTTTGTTCTACTGACAGTGCTCAGAGATCACTGTATATAAGAAGTATGTCAAGGTGAAGTTGCATACATTGAGCAGACTACACAGAAGGTTGTCTTGGAAAAAAAAAATTACTTTCTTCACTTACAAAGGTGGGTCTATCCAAAGTACAAATCATCTGTTGCTAAAGGACTTGTCTTTGAAGACATTGTCCTTGGATAAAATAGACACTCCATAGACCAGTGTTGGGGGTGTTCAAGGTGTCTCAGTTACTTGAAAATGACATAGGTCACTCAGTGTACTGTTTTGTCACTAACTCAATTAGTTCATTGGCAAAAGACTTGTTTTGTTTTCTTCCCATATGGCTGTTTTGGAAAGAATTATCTCATTTTCAAATTATTCCCTTATCTCATCTCTAATCATCAGTTACTGGAATGAAACATCTTAAATATACAGTATATGCTGGTAAACGTATAAAAAATGTTTCTTTTCCTATTATTCACTGATAGTCGTGCTTTCTTGTAACTAATTGGAAGTTAAATTAAGTGTCAAATAGGAACCCAGAGTTAAAATGCTCAGTTTTATGCTAATCTCCTGTGAATAAAGATTGGAATTCATCTGCAAGAGTAAGCCTGGCTGACCTGCAGGGGTGAAGTGAAGCTTCAGTAAGGAAGTTCACTTATCTCCTTTGAAGGAGCAGACTGGGCACACTCAGAATGATGGTGGAAACAATAGAATGAGTCACAGCTGGAGATCTGAATTCTTACTCTGCTCATCCCATTGGCCTGCCTGTAGAAGTTTTTAGATATGCATTTGTTTCTCCCAATACCCGTTTCCTTATGAAAAGGATTAGAGTAGACCTTGGTCACTAAGCTTTCTTCTGCAATGTCTAAAGATTGGTGTATGTCACATGGGAGCTCAGTTTGGATGAGGAAACACTTAGCTTTCCGTGGCTGGGCTGTATTATCCTCACATCCACATTAGGGTTTTGCTCTGTCTTTCCCTATCAGTAGTGTCACATCCCCTTTCTTGTTGTGCCAGGTCTGTGACACGTCTTCCTCATTCAACTCTCTCCTTAAATTGCTCATCTCATTTTTCTCCTTTTACATCCAGGTCTGTTTTGGCATGTTTTAGAATCTACTTTTAGCACATTTCATCCAAGTGAATGAATATTGCTGAATCTTAAACAGCAATTTTATTGTTTTCATGTTTTACATGTTGTCTTATTATCATTTCCGCTGTGATTTTATCAGTGCCTTTCTCTTCACTTTGTGTTGCAATATTCAGTGATCAAGGGCAGGTGTTGTTAACACAGTATGTTATTACCCAACCACATTTCTTTATCTTAAAAAATACAAAAATCTAAGAAATTATTGTTATGACTAGTTTTTTTTTTAATGTAGTATTGTTAAGAAGCATGGAAAAAGGGAAAGAATATACAGAATTAATTACATTACAGCATTGTCCTTTTCACTTAGTTTTTTCCCCCTTAATGCTTCCTATTTAAAAGAAAACTTCCTAGTCACCCAGATCAACACTTCCATTAGGAAGTGTCATGGAGGGCTGAGCAGTATAACTATATGTTTTCAGGTAAACATAGAGATGTTTCAATAGGTCAGAATCTCTGTGCATCTTGCTGAGTGGTCCAGGTCTCAGAGTCCATGCAGATGTATTTGATGAGAACGGAATCCAGTTGGTTTTATCTGTACTTGTGGGCCATAAGAACTGCTTGATGTCAGTTATGGTCATGACATTATTATATGTCTTCAATTCTAGTTACCTGTCAGAGTATACAAGGAAGACTTGCAGTATGCACTACAGCACAGGGCAAGGACACAGACACTTCCAAGGCCACATATAGCTGAAGAATTCCAGTCCAATGGTGGCCTTTTTCCCTGAGTTATTATTTAGTGCTTTAAAAAGAAAATCTTCCACTAAAATGCTATTAACACGGAAAATTTAAACCACCACGGGGAGAAATAGAGTCACCAGCTTTAGTCTTATTTTCACAGAATTTGGTGGATAAACCAGATAAAACAATCCTCTTTAGCCTTCATAGTATTTTTCAAATTTCCACTTTTGGTATGGTTTCATTGGGTTACACGCAGCCACTTTCAGGGTCTTCTGAGAGAAATCCCCTTCCATGCATAACAATTGCTGGTAGTGTTCAAACACAATGTGATCCACCTGAAGAGAAAGAGGATATGGGAATGAGCTAGTGACTAAACTTGACATATGAAGATATAATAAGCAAATTCTATTTTCATTCCCCCAGGAACACTGAATTAAATTAGTGACATAAGCACTAGGTTTGGAAAACATCAAATTTGTCTCTGTCTCAAACTAATTGATCTAGCTTCTTTAGCTGTAAGATTTTAATTCTGCAGGAAGAAAACAGTCATTTTTTTTTTCTAGTGATAAGGCTGATAACTATATTATTTAAAGAAAAAAAATCTGGTTGGTACTTAATACATTGGGTGACTATTTCATTGATGATGGCAAAGCAAAAACCATGTAGTATGGACCTCCTGAGTATAGGAGATAGTGCAGGCACAGGGGAGCTCATCCAGACAGACTGGCCTGCCCAGAGTCTGCCAGTGTCCTGGTCCCCCCTCCACCCACAGAAGGAGTCCACCTTCTAGTGCTATACTTAGAAACTCCTGAGGACTGGGGACTATGTGCAGGGGAGGCCAGTCCCAGCAGACTGGCCTTCCCAGAGTCTGCCAGCATCCTGGTTCCACCTCCAACCACACCACAGTAGGAGACAAACTTGGACCTGTTTCCAGCCTGCCTTCTGGGGCCCTGCTCAGAGCCTGCTGAGGACTGGGGTCTGTGCACAGGGTAACCCATCCCAGTGTAGCAGCCCATCCAGAGTTTGCCAGTGCCCTAGTCCCACCTCCACCCACTGGGCAAGGAGAGCCAGTAGAGTATTGAACATGCTTGTACCCACGAGAAGAGAACTTCAGTCCTGTATCCACCAGGAGAACTAGAGACCTCACCAGTATACACTGGAAGATGGGATGGGTAGCTGACAGTATAAGAACAAAGTCAACAACAGGAAATTCAATAGGATACCCCCAGAGACTAGGGAATCCACACAAGCAAGACCTGAACATCCCAACACAGAGGAAGCAGAAGAGGACAACCCTAAAAAGGTTCATGGAGATGATAGAGACCCTAAAAGAGGAAATTAAAAAATCATTTAAAGAAATGGAAGAAAAAAACAAATCAAAGAATGCAAGAAAGCAGCAAATGTCTTAAAGAAAGCAAGGAAAGCCTAGAAAAAATACCAAAAAACAAAAACAAACAAACAAACAAACAAAACCCAATCAAACAGATGAAGGAAACAATTCCAACAGTTCATAACCTGAAAACTGAAATAGAGACCATAAAGAAAACACAAACTGAGGGAATGCTGGAAATAGAAAAACTTGATAAATAATCAGGAACTAAAGATACAAGCATACATAACCAACAGATTACAATAGATAGAAGAGAGAATCTCACGTGTTGAAGATACACTAGGAGAAATAGATTTGTCAACCAAAGAAAATCTTAAATCCACAAATCCCCATCACAAAATATCCAGGAAACATGGGACACTGTGAAAAGGCAAAACCTAAGAATAATAGGTTTAGAAGAAGGTGAAGAAAACAACTCAAAGGTGCAGAAAATATTTCAACAAAATCATAGAAGAAAACATTCCCAACCTAAAGAAATACATGCCAATGAAAGCACAAGAAGCTTACAGAAAACCACATAGAGTAGACCACAAAAAATTCTTCTCACCACATAATAATCAAAACACCAAACGTACAGCATAAAGAAAGAATATTGATAGCAACAAAGGAAAAAGGCCAAGGAACATATAAAGGCAAACCTATCAGAATTACGTCTCCATGGAAACTCTTAAGGCCAGAAGGTCCTGGATAGATGTTCTACAAACACTAAGAGCCCACAGATGCCAGCCCAGGCTACTATACGCAGCAAAGCTTTCAATCACTATAGATGGAGAAGCCAAGATATTCCATGACAAAACCAGATTTAAACAATCCAGCCCTACATTAAGTTCTGGAAGGACTCCAACCCAAGGAATACGACTACACCAACAAAAACATAGGCAATAGATAATCCCACTTTACCAACAGCCAAAAGAAAAATGGGGGGAAATCCACACGTAATACGCACCTATAAAAAGGCACAGGCAAGCTGAATGGATATGAAGACAATCCATCCTTCTGCTACATACAAGAAATACACCTCAACTTCAAAGACAAATGTTACCTCAGAGTTAGGGGTTTGGAAAAGACTTTACAATCAAATAGACCCAAGAAACAAGTATGCGTACCACTCATAATATCTAACAAATTAGACATTAAACTAAAATCAATCAGAAGAGACGAAGAAGGTCATTTCTTATTTATCATAGGAGAAATCCATCAAGATAAAGTCTCAGTTCTGAAAATCTATACTCCAAATACAAAGGCAATCACATTCCTAAAAGAAACATTACTAAAACTCAAATTACACATAAAACCTCACACACTTACAGTGGGAGATTTCATCACCCCACTCTGCTAGACAGGTCCAGCAGACAAAAACTTAACAAAGGAACTAACAGAGGTTATGACCAAATTGACCAAATTGGTTTTAACAGACATTTATAGAACATTCCATCCAAACACAAAAGAATATACCTTCTTCTCAGTGCCACATGGAACCTTCTCTAACACTGACCTTTGTATTTTATCAGACCACCATGCTTTAAAGTTACAATTCGACAACACAAATTGCAGAAACCCTACAAAATCATGGAAATTGAACAATGCACAATTGCACCATTCCTGTGTCAAGGAAGAAATAAATGAAGAAATTAAAGACTTCCTAGAACTCAGTGAGAATGAAGATACAACATACTCAAACTTATGGGATACTTTGAAAGCAGTACTAAGAGGAAAGTTCCTAACACTAAGTGCCCACATGAAGAAACTGGAAATTAGTCACATTAGAAAATTAACAGCACAACTGAAAGCTCTAGAACAAAAATAAGCAAACTCACCATGGAGCAGTAGATGCTAGGAAATAATCAAATTGATGGCTGAAATCAATAAACTAGAAACTAGGAAAACAATACAAATAATAAATATAACAAAGAGTTGGTTGCTTGAGAAAATCAAAGATAGATAAACCTTTATCCAAACTAATCAAAAGTCATAGAGAGAACATGCAAGTTAAAAAGATCAGAAATTCAAAAAAGAGCTAACACCAATACTCCTCAATTTGTTACACGTGATAGAAGCAAAAGGTTCAATACCAAACTCTTTTTAGGAGGCTACAATTACCTTGGTATCCAAGAAACACAAAGACACAACTAAGAAAGAGAACTACAGACCAATATCCCACTTGAACATTGATGCAAAAATACTCAATAAAATACTGACAAATCAAATCCAAGAACACATCTGACAAATCATCTACTAGCACCAAAGAAGCTTCATCCCAGGGATGCAGAGGTGGTCAACGTATGAAAATCCATCAATGTAATCCACCATATAAAAAAATGGAAAAAGAAAAACCACATGATCCTTTCACAAGATGTTGAAAAAGCTTTTGACATAATCCAACACCCCTTCATGATTAAGGTATTGGAGAGATCAGGAATAACAGGGAATACATAAATATAATAAAAGGAATATACAGCAAACCGACAGCCAACGTCAAAAATAAACATTGAGAGAAACTCAATGTGATTCCTCTAAAATCAGGAACAAGACAAGGCTACCCACTCTCTCCATATCTCTTCAATATTGTACTTGAAGTTCTAGCTACAGCAATATGAAAACAAAAAGAGATCAAGGGATACTAACTGGAAAGGAAGAAGTCAAACTGTCACTATTTGCAGATGATATGATAGTTTACATTAGTGACCTGAAAAACTCTGCCAGGGAACTCCTACACAGATAATCACCTTCAGCAAAGTGGCAGGATACAAGATTAACTCAAAAACAAACAAACAAAAAACAGTAGCCCTACTATATACAGATGATAAAGGGGCTGAGAAAGAAATCAAAGAAACATCACCTTTACAACAAACAGCATAAAAAATCTTGGGGGTAATGCTAACCAAACAAGTGAAAGGCCTATTTAATAAGAACTTTGAGTCTTTAAAGAAAGAAATTAAAGAAGATACCAGAAAATGGAAAAATCTCCCATGTTCTTGGATAGGTAGTATCAACATAGTAAAAATGGCAATCTTGCCAAAAGCAATCTAAAGATTCAATGTAATCCCATCAAAATCTTAGCACAAAATTATTCACAGACCTTGAAAGAGCAATACTCAACTTTATATGGAAAAACAAAAGATCCAGGATAGCCAAAACAACCCTGTGCAATAACATTCCTGACTTCACGCTCTATTATAGAGCTATAGTCCTGAAGACAGCTTGGTATTGGTGCAAAAATAAACAGTAAGACCAATGGCATCGAATTGAAAATCCTGATATTAACCCACAAACCTATGAGCACCTGATTTTTAACAAAGAAACTAAAATTATACAATGGAAAAAAGAAATGGTGGTGGCATAACTGGATGCTGACTTGCTGAAGACTGCAGATAGATCTATATCTATTGTCATGCACAAAACTTGAGTCCAAATGGATCAAAGACCTCAACATGTATCTAGCCACACTTAACCTCTTAGAAGAGGAAGTGGGAGGTACCCTTGAATGAATCTGTACAACCAGTGGCCCCATAGACTTCCCAGGCCTCCCAACTAACACCCACATTCAGGGAATCTGGGTCAGTCCTATGCTGGTTTCCCAGCTATCAGACTGGGGTCCATGAGCTCCCCTTGTTCAGATCAGCAGTTTCTGTGAGTTTCTCCAGGCTGGTCTTGAACCGTTTTCTCATTACTCCTTCCTCTCTGCAACTGGATTCCAAGAGTTCTGCTCAATGTTTAGCTGTGGGTGTCTGCTTCTGCTTCCATTAGCTACTAGATGCCTTCATCTCATTAATCTCATTATTGGGGAAGGGCATTTAAGGTAGCCTCTCCACTATTGCTTAGATTGTTAGTTGGGGTCATCCTTGTAGATCTCTGGACATTTCCCTATTGTGTGATTTCTGTTAAAACCTATAAAAGCTCCCTCTATTATGGTATCTCTTTTCTTGCTCTCCTCTATTCTTTCCCTGACTCAATCTTACTGCTCCCTCATGCCTTACTGCTCCCTCATGCCCAACTCTCCTCATCTCTTCTTCCTAATTCCCTCTCCCCTTTCTCCATGCTCCAAATATGCTTGGGATATCTTGTCCCTTTCCCCTTCTCCAGGGAACCATGTATGTCTCTCTTCGGGTACTCCTTGTTTCCTAGCTTTTCTGGCCGTGTGAATTGTAGGCCAGTAATTCTTTGCTGTATGTCTAAAAATATATATGAGTGAGTACATACCATGTTTGTCTTTTTATGACTGGGTTACCTCACTCATGATGGTTTCTTCTAGTTCCATCCATTTTCCTGAGAAATTCAAGATTCCATTGTTTTGTTTTGTTTTGTTTCCTCGCTGTGTAAATATACCACATTTTCTCCATTCATTGTTCAGTTGAGGGGCATTTAGATTGCTTCCAGGTTCTGGCTATTACAAATAATGCTGCCATGAACATAGATGAGCAAATGTTCTATGAAAGTGCGTCTTTTGGGTATGTGCCTGAGAGGAAATACTGAACCTTGAGGTAGATTGATTCCCATTTTCCTGAGGAACCACCATACTGATTTCCAAAGTGGATGTACAAGTTTGCACTCCCACCAGCAGTAGAGGAGTTTACTCCTTTCTCCAGTTCCTCTCCAGCATAAACTGTCTTTGGTGTATTTTATTTTAGCCATTCTGACAGGTCGTGAAAAGTAGGTGACTTGGAAACAAATCATTGAGCATTGTCTTCAATGTTCTGTGGTGAATGACAGAGGTGAGTAAACCACTTCCTCCTATCTGAATACACATAGAGACCAGTGATAGGGAGGCCTCCTCTACTATGCTCTGACTCACACACTGAGAGGGCAGAGTATCAGGGCGAGGACTGACTTGGGGAGCATTTTACAATGAAAATTTAGCATTTAATAAGTCATCACTGTCTAGAGTCAAACATTAAAAAGAAAGAAGTTCCCCTTATTCACAGTGTCTCTATTTCTCTTCTTTACAACGTAGATATCTCAGGGACTGCTATACTTGTATCTTGAATACCAACCCTCCCCTCAAAACTGATGAGGCAGAGACTTGGTCGCCAGCATGCAAGGGGATGGTGAAACCTTAGTGAGGCTTAGTGGAGGACACATAGGTCACTGCAAAATGTCTGTGATGAGGACTGTGTGGCCTTCTTTCTACTCTCCTTTACCTCCTAGCCATGAACTGAGCCATGTTCAAACCTGTGCTCTTTCTGTAATGTGTTGCCTCACCACAGGCCTCAAACAACAAGGCCAGCCTACGATGGATTTAGACCTCTAATTGTCTGAGGCAGTGGTTTCCAACCTTCCTAATGCTGTGCCCCTGTAATACAGTTCCTCATGTTGGGGTGACCCCAGCCATAAAATTATTTCATTGCTACTTGATAACTTGTAATTTTGCTGCTGTTATGAATAATAATGTAAATATCCGTGTTTTCTGATGGTTTTAGGTTCAAAGAGTTGAGACCCGAGGTTTAGAACTGTTGACTTAAGGTTGTTTTCTAAAGTGATAGTTAATCGAGGGACTTACGGGGAATTTTATGAGAACTGTCAAAAGAAAAAAGAGAAGAGATAGAAAGAGACTGAGAGAAAGTCAGTACAGGCCACCCACATGTGTGAACATCTACACACATCCATAACTAGGACACATCCATAACTAGGAGACTGAAAGGCAGAAGGACACATGCAACACATCACAGACAGATTTCTAGTTTCTGTTATCTTAGTTAACTACCTTTTTAAAATCAGCTTACTGGGTAAAATTAACCTTTAAACACTTGCTCACTTCATAGCCTATCTAATATTCACTTCTGCAGATAAGAGATGCTTTGATTTCCGTAGTCTCTCTTTCCTTCTATCCTTTCATTCCCACCTTCAGTGCAGTGTTATAGAAGTAGGAAGTGTAATATAATATTGTCAATAGATATTTATGAAATTTCCCCAAAAGTATAAAAAATTAAAAGAGAGGTTTATACACTAATAATTCTCTATTTGGCTGTACCAACTGACAATAATAATCTTTGTCAGTAACAAGAAAGTGTCCCCCAAATTAAAACATTCAGCCAGGTAGTGGTGGTGCATGCATTTAATTGCAGCCCTTGGAGGCAGAGGTGGGCATACCTCTGTGAGTTCAAGGTCAGGCTGGTCTACGAAGTGAGTTCCAGGACAGCACTTGCAATAAGCATGCAGCTACTTACCTTGTCCCTGGATTCCACATCTAGGCTCTTTGGTAACCAATGAAAATAAGTTTCAACTATACACATGGCATTGCTGATTGATTTAAATGAATTTTAGATTTTAACATGATGGTAGCAATATAGTAGGAAGTCACTCATTTGAAATCAATTTTTTAAAAAGCAAACAAAACCAAAACTTAAAGACAAAACCTTAAAATTTTATAGAAACTCTTTCTATATCCCTGAGTGAACCTTCACACTGCCTCTGTTAGAACAAACAGCACTTAAGGTTTCTGACTAAAGAGGCTGATAATGAGAGCTTTATGTCGCCTTTGACTGAAAGTTAATTCTGTGGTAAAGACATTGCACAAATGTTTTGCTTACCAGTTCTGGGTGAAAGCCTGATGTTGATTTGTGTAGCCACTTGAGCCTGTTGTCTCTGTAATCACACGGGTGGTGGAATCTCAGGGATCCTTTATCAGTGATGGCCGCCATGCACCAGTCTCCATGCTTAATAAGTCTTACCCAGGTATAATTAAACTGTTGAAGCTGTAGAGAATGGGCACAGGAAAGGCCATTCAGGTAGCAAGCACAGACAGGAGATTTGCCAAAGACTTTTATCAGCAATAGATGAGATCATGGGTCCCCTGATCTGATGAGTATGTATGTTACTTAACCTATCCACTGTCATATTTTTCATTGTCTCTGTTGGCTTTAGTAATGATTTTCAGATGTTTAGTCTTATAGCCCAGGTGTGTGCTAAAATCATGGTTCTCTTGCCTCACCCTTCCTGACATCTAGAATTGCAGTATCACCATGGCTGGCTTTAAGTTGGGATTTAATTTAGACTGTAAGGATATATTAAAGAAATGGTGGCAAATCAAAGTGTAGCCCCTGAACCAACATCATGTTACCCAGAAATGCTGAGTCTTTGCCCCATCATGGACCCTGTGAGTCTGAGTTTGCACTAAAACACTCCCAAGGTGATTTGTGGGAGTATCAGTGTCTGAGAGCCAAGGATAGAATAGAAGGCCATGCAGTTGCTAAAATAAGCTTGATATCACCTTAGAAAGGGTTTAAAAGTAAAAGCCTAAGACTTCTAGTTAAAATAAAGGACAGGAATTGAGGGTGAAGCCATTTCATTTCTTCTGAGTGTTCTAGATGAATAAAGCTTATCAGTTCTGCCCCTACCAAAATAACTGCCTCTATTTCCTGTCCTTGTTATTATCCAAACAAACCACCAGTAAGAGAAACCCAAAAGGAGCAACAGGTCCAAAGAGTAATGGAGCTTTCTGGTAGGTAGTGGCTCTATTACTCATATTTTGATCTTACCTTCCCAACTTGTTGGTATTCAAAGTTGAGTTTCTGGTGAAATACTGATTTTACAGGTATGCTAAGTTCCTACAGTGCTAGTTTAGACTAATTCTGCAGTTTGTTTTTCTATGATTTGTTACTATTTCCATTGTGAACTTTAACAAACAGAAGTCATTTCTTTCAGCTGACTCCTTAAGCTTACCATCTCAACTCTTTCCTAATTATAAAAATGTTTTCTTGGCTTCAGATTCACAATCCACAGGAGAATCATACTGACAGATCTGTCTTCTATTCTAGGGGCAGCTTGGGACTAAGATGCAGAAATGGGATGTACTTGAAAATACAAGCCACAATGCTTAAATCCAATCAAAGAAGTTAGACAGCAAGCTGAGGCCATCGTCACAAAATGATCTGTCTATCAAAGTGTGATCTGCAATCTGGAGGCTGATTTGTATACATGAGTCAGTCTTTCTGTGAGTCCTATTTAGCATCCAAAGCAGATACCATTCCAGTCTGGGGTGCAGATGCTGGAGAGGGAGGTGTAATCACTTGAAGCTTACCTGGAGCATCGCAGGAGTTGTCCTCTGTTTTTCCTGGCCCCATTCCCTCCTATCCACCATCCTCTGATTTTGTGATTATGTTGTTAAAAGATTTTCCATCAAGGATCATAGTTTAGGGGAAGTCTATCACTCCCTTAAGATATCAGAGGAAAGGGGAAGTTGGGGAAAGGAATGTAATCAGAGAATAAAATGGGTTCCTCAGGATGGCTGCTTAGAAACATGGTTTCTACTTTATCTTTTGACAAACTCTAAATTTATCTATCCATCTATTCATTTGTTGATGTTTTTTTCAAGACAGGGTTTCTCTGTGTAACAGTCCTAGCTATTCTAAAATGAGCACTATAGAGTAGGCTGGCTTCAAACTCACCGAGGTCCACCTACCTCTACCTTCCGAGTGCTGAAATTAAAGGCATGTGCCACCACTGCCTGGGTAAATTTTATTATTATTGTTACATGCATGTGCATATGTGATACTTATATGTAAGTATGCATGTCATAGATGCTCTGTGGAGGTCAGAGGAGTAATGCGGAACTAGTTCTCTCTGTACACCTTCATGTGGGTTTTGGGGATTGAACTCACATTGGCAGGCTTGTATAGTAAGCACCTTTATCCACTGAGCCATCACACCAGCCACATATTAGGCATTTTGTCTTTACACTGTAACAAATGTTTACACAGCACCAAGCATTAGCATTAGGTAGTGCTTACAGCCACCAGAGTGTTGTCAATTCATTTCAGTTTTAGAGATAAGCATTATCTTCACTTTCATTTGCCAAGGTTTAAGACTTTATGGAAGTTAAGCCAAATTTGCAAGTCAAGACTAAATCCATCATGGAGCAATGACTTCAATGCCAACAGTTCCCTCCCTTATGTTGCTTCTCTGTTTAGTGGCATTTCCTTAAACTAGGCCATTGACTACCCTGATATTTAGACATTTACGGTTTCTCCTGGACAGAGATCAATTGTCAAGTAAACAATAGCATGTCAGTCACTATTCTTGTCCACGAAATACTGAGAGACAGAGAACCCAGGCTGAGCCTACCTGGCTGCTCCCATCACAGTCTTCCAGTGTGGCTGTGGTATTTTCAATGGAAACGCACCTGCCCAACGCCACATTAACAAGCTAAGAAGCAGAATATAAAATGCTCATTAAGAACAAATACATCTTAATGTACAACAAAGCATTCAGGCACATTTAGAAAATATAAGGTAGACAGCTATAAGGTTACTAGATAATCAATAGATTAGCCAAAGTTTATAGTAGTTGACTGTCATGGTCACAGCTCTAGAAGAGACACAGTGATCCTTTCACAGCACAGCTTCAATCTGTGAACCTAAGCCTGTGATTCAGCCACAGTGGCAATAAGCATTCGCTTCTCTTTAACTCTTTCCAGGGATACTGAATGAAAGGGAGAAAAAGTTGGTATAGAGAGAAGGGGATTTTTTTTGGCTTGAATTTATCCCAATGTATATTTTACAATTCAATGCACACACCTCCAATGTCATCAAACCAAGACTTACAGGATGTGTTCCTCGGCTGACCTTGCTAAGTGATCTGACTGTTTAGGTACTGACTCCTAGACAAATTGAATGCTCCAGAGAACAGCAGACTCTAGCCAATTCCCTGTCACACTCCCCCTAATGATCCAGTCAAGTTATGACTCATTAGAGGGAAGTCACGGAAAGCTAAAGCAAAGCCAAGCATAAAGGCCCTTCCTGGCAGACTCAGCTTTTTAATGAATTTACAGGTCAAATATGGAGGAAACTTTCTATCAGTCACTATCTAAGGCAGAGACGTTGATTCCCTCACCCTGTCTGACATTTCAGGGCAGGGCTAACAGGATGGTAGGTTAATAATGCAATTTAGGCTTTTCAATTTGCTGCAGGTGCTGTGTTAAGGAGAAATTATACGTGTTCCATGAAAGCCTGCTAAATTTGGGAGGTGGTGACGATGTTTGTGTTTCTTCAGTTTTTATGGGGCCCAATACAGAACTTTAGTTCTGGGGTGCTGTAACAATGGAGGTGTTGGCCACAGAAGCACCAGATTTTGTAGCAGACTCTGTAGTAGGTTAGTATCTTCTTGTGAATACATGCCTTAGCTTGAAGATAAGTAAGGAGTAATTTGCAAGGTCAGAGAATGCAGAAGGCAGCACTGAGAAGGATAACTGCAATAAGTAGGAAGGAGAAGGATAACTGCAATAAGTAGGAAGAATGCCCTCACAGAAACATGCAGGGAGTATGAAATGCATCAGAGAGTTGGGACCGGGCTCTTCCAAACCTTAACTGACCTGTGGCTACTGGGTATTAGGAAGAAGAGTTTATCTACTAAAACAGAAGAAAACAAAGCTGCTGAATTCTCTCTGAGAATCTGAAGACACACATAGACCTTCATTTGGATTGGAGATAAAAACATGCCCTACTTGCTTGAACTAGGAACCCTCGCTGACCTTCAAGGAATATAAGAGCAAACATCGGCAGGTTGGTTATTTCTAAAGTGTCTGACGTGGGGGGCACGGCACACAAAGCAATACTAGAGGGACATATCTCCATTAACACACACACACACATACAAACACACACACACACACACACACCATGCTCCATTCAGTACTTCAAATGGCAAAATGACAAATACGGGCACATCCACCATCAGCAGGTATGAACAGTGGCAGCTTGAAGAAAAGATGCCACAGCACTCTATGTTCAGCAAACATGAACAGACGTGCAGGGGGTAGAGTGATTCTGGAGTTCAGAGAAGGAAACAGAGACCCTCACTGGTCTTTGGATACTATCAGGGAAGTGAGTCCCATATCCTCACAGATCATTCAGAAATTATCCCATCTTAAATAAATTTGGAAAAATCTGGCTCCAACACAGCTGAGGAAGTTGCTTTCCCCTGGAACTTCTCAGAGCCTCCCATATGAGAGCATGCACTCAGGACACACAGGGTTTTCTTTCCAAGGTCTACACTATCAAGATAGTGTTTTGGGGAAAGCTTACTATAGATGATTTTCTTGTTATTTTATTTGTGTTGTTTCATTTATATTTTATTTCAAACAGTTCCTTCCTGCAGGCATTGGAAGGCACTGGAGCATGAGCAAAAGTTTCTTTTCGTGGGTCCTTCATGCAAACCATTTCTATGTAGCAATAATAGTAATAATAATAATAATAACAATAATAATGATCTATCGTGTAGATTTTATATTTTCTGAGTTGAATTATTTCATTTTCCCAATGTCAAAGTTGGAAATCTCCCACATTTAATTGCATAATTGTTAAATCTTAGGTTGAGACTGTTTGCTAATAATGTACTTCAAGGGAAAAACACTGCTGTTGAGGCTATTTATTGATTACAAATATTATTGACTATGAGAAATTGCCTATAATAAAAACTTTCATTGAACTTAAATTTCTAGTGTGAAGGTTGAATGATGAGAAAATGTGAAGTGAGAAACAAAAGTATTTCATGTTCTTGCAACTTTTCCTGGTTATCATGATCGATTGAATTGTATTTGATATTAATTGGGGGGAAAAAAACCTCAGTGACATCTAGATGAGGCAGCAAAGAATGGAAGTAGAAGAAAAATGTTTGGTGAGGTTGCTTTGAAATGTATGATCAGCGTTTTGATATATTACTGGGCAGATATTTGTTTTATTTATTTATTTATTTTTTTGAGAACTTTTCAAAGATAGAGGCAACAAATAACGGGAATCAAAAGGTTGTTTGATTGCACCCTCTGGTGGCTGACGTTCAGTAGTGCTGCTGTTGAGATTCTCAAGAGAAATTCACTGATCCTTCTCTGGCCACCCTTGTTGGGAGGATGGAATTTAAACATGTCAGTAGTATGTTTGATGTGTATCTGAGATCTACTTTGACCTACTCCAAATCCTGCTGATCTCCTGTGAACTAGTGACAACACTTTCCTATGAATAAACCAGGTCCAATGTATTTATTGGTTAAATTTTATAAAATCAGAACAAATGTTCAGACTACCTTTCTGTTTTCCATACCCTCCCTTGATTTCCCCGGTGAGAATAATAGCATCACTTTTATTAATACTTTGTTATCTGGGGATTTAACAGACTGGGAGGGGGGCTGGTTTATACATCTGTTTCCTAGGAAGAGCCAGAGATGGATGTTCTGAAAAAGCAGACATACTGACAGACAAGTTAGAGATCTTCCTGAACAAAAAGGGGCAGGGGCTATGAGTGACAACAAAAGAACACTAGGAATATTTATAAATAAACATGAAAAGCAGTATAAGAGACTGAGCACAACTATAAGCATGAGGTCAATCAAAGGCCACCAAAGGAAGCAGCATTCCAGGGTGAACTCAGCTTTGCCCCAGGGTCTCAACTTCTGTCAGATTCTTGCACCACTCCATATTCAAATTATTTGCCCTTTGTGAGACCTCCCTTAGTGCCTTGAGTGTTTTTTTTTTTCAACTTCTCAACAAACCTTTTAAAAAATACAAATTAAAGCTGGTATTTCTACTGACTAACCCCACTGATAAAAGAAGTAAAGGAAGAGAACTACTCACAAGGACCCACATGAACCAACTCTCGATACTTTACCCACAATTCTCCACCTACATTTCTCCATTCATACCCTGACAATAACATTCATCTCTCCATATCTTGGCTGCCTCCAGTCTGCCCTGAGTTGGGTAGCAGCTGAACCTCCACCTCAGGGCTGGGTTGGCACTGTGTCTCAGGCCTGGCTTCAAGTCTTCTCAGAGGATTTCTTGATAGCACGAATTTCAAAGGAGTCAGCATACAAGAGCATCATATTCCATATTCATACTTCACTTACTTATTGTCCCTGTCCTCCATTCAGTGTCAGCTTCCAAAGGAAGGGATGACACCTATATCTTGAAGTGATATTTACTATAAGTCAGCATGACAATCATATGCTAGACTTTCTCAGATTCACCTCTAATGACTCTCATCTGTACTTTGTCTCAGTGGCATTCATGCCTGTTGCTTAAAGTATATTACTTCATTCTTTTCTAAGCATAGATGAAGGAGTTTATGTATTGTTTTTGCAAAGGAAGATTGTAAGTGGCCACATTAACTTACCACCCCACTAGCTCTCACAATGGGAGCCTTCAAGTCAGGAAAGACATTGTCCAAGTACCACTTGAAACTTTTGCATTTCAGCCTCTTCCGCAACTCCCTTTGCTGGGTAAGGTTACCCACATCCAACCCTTGGTCTATGAGGTGATCCCCATGTCCATAGAAGAGCTCCTTGTACTCATCAAGCCAGACCTCAGCCACCCGCACCAGATTCCGTTCCACTGTCTTCAGGCGGTCTTTGGGGAAGGAATACGGATTGTCATTTCGGAATATGTGGCCCACTCTGGAACAGGGAATGATCTCAATTTCTCCACCACACATCCAGACCTAGGAATGAGTCAGTGAAAAGCACCAATTATCAAACAGTAGTTCACAAATCACAGGCAAGTAACAATGTCATGGTACTACCTAGAGACATTTCTCTTCCTGTTAAAAGTAGTACTTCCAGCTTAGAAACACTTCAACAATAGAAAAGAACACTCAGTAGGTGTATTTAGTCTCATGTATGGTGGAACACTTTTTGAACCCTTCCAAACCATCTATGTAAAATTTCTCTTTATCTCTTTTCCAAAGAACTCTTCATAGAATGCCAGTATATATAATATGCCACTTATGTTCCTGTTTGGGTTGGCTCAGAGAGAGTTATGGATGTTCATTTGTTTACCTCCTTCTTTGGGAGACCTGTAGGCTTATGCTACCCAACTCAAAACTATTCTTGGTCAGGACCTCCAAACTTATACCCATTTGAACACAGACCAACCAGCCACATAAGGAAGCTGGTATTGGTGTTCTTTGTTCTTGCTACAGCTTTCTTAGGCATGAGTCAGTGATGACTAAGTCACTGCATGCAGTCTCCAAAGGTGCTATACTGATCCACTCACTTGGCATGCTGCTGGCCTGCACTGGAGGGTTTTTTTTTTTTTGGTCATTTGTATTCTCAAGATCACCCCTTTGCAGATATTTGCACTGCTTCCAATGCATCAGAGAGCTATTCTAAGTAAGTCCCTGTATGTCACAGATGAATCCCAAAGGAATTTGTATTAAGCATGAATTCCATAGCTTTTGTGTAGAAAAAAGAAAGTAACTTCCCCATAATTAAACCTAGGAACATTGTTGTGAAATATTAATTCTAATAGTTTTACAACAGTGGCTCATTCTCCCAAATTAAGTCTGGCGAATGAAAGTCAGCCCATAGAAACTGTGCCATGGTGATGTTTCTTCTCAGTTGCAACAACATACATGATTGTATTAGTAAAGTGAAGCCATTTGGGAGTCATAAACACTGATGTGTGTGTGTTTGTGTCCATAGGTTGTGGTGATTGTGTAAGAGTGTTTACATGTATGCTGAGGTCAAAGGTCAACAGAAGGTGTCTTCCTCAATTGCTCTGCACCTTAACTTTTGAGACAGTTTCTCTCACTGAAAGTGGAACTCACTGATTGAATAAAAGTAGCTGGAATTATAGATACACATCATTGTACTTGGGTTTCTACACAAGATATGAACTCAGGCTCTCATGTTTGTATGCCAATATCTTCAGCAACTGAGCCATCTGCCCTGTCCCTAGAATGATTAACTTTTAACTGGAAAGAAAGAAAGGAAGAAAGAATGAAAGAAACAGTAGTGAATACCTTGAATGACAGCTCCATATTTTCTCCTCCCCAAACGTCCAGACCAGGGTCATAAGTTCCAAGTTCATAAAAGTAACTTTTATCAATGGAAAATAATCCACCTGCCATGACTGGACACCTACAAAAAGAAAGGATTGTGTTATACTTTTGTCCCATGACAACTTAACTTCTAGAGTGGGTCCTCTTGTCTGTGTGGGAGTTTAGAGGCATTTCTGGATAGATTCAGGGAGGTCTTGGGATAGAGCCCGCAGCTTGTCTTTAGTAAAAATTTTCTGGTTCACAGGGACTGGCTTGATTAGAATCTGAGAAGAAGTAGGTGGGGCTAGCATTCTTATCTGTCAATCATGTTCTGTGTTAGGGCTAAATTGGGTGCATTTCAAATTGAATTTGGGGTTAGGAAATAGCACACTTACTTCTCAGGAAACTTTGCTAACTTCGATAAAGTCTTATATAGAATTATAATTTTTTGAGACATATGCTTACTACTGTAGCCCAGGCTACCCTTAAATGTGCTACCCTCATGTTTCTGCCTCCTAGGTACTGAGATTACAGGCATGAACCATCATGTCTAGTTGATACTTACAAGTCTTGCTGGTTTTCAGAAGATAGAGTACAACTTTATATATTTTTTTTAACATTTTCTGTTTTTACAGAATAACTTTGGACTACTGTCTAGTCTTTAGTTTCACAGACTTACCTTATTATGTCAGTTTCTTTAATTCCATTTTTTGCAACAACATCTGGAGGAATTGTTCTCCAGCCAAAGTTCATGGGCCATGTGAAGACACCTCTTTGGAAGTTGTCCACTGTCATGTAACTAATTCAGGACAAACAAAACAAATGAAATCACAAGTGCTAAGCTTGCTTCTGTGTCCCTGGAATTCACTAACACGGCTTCAAGTCAGGTGCAGGTGTGGGATGGATGATAACACACATGGTTCTGCACCACCAACTCTCAGTTCTGTTCAGATGAGCTTATGGATATGACTTACACTGGTGGTTAGCTGGCTCAATTGCTTGTTTTCCACTAACACTCATCTTTCCCTCTATAATGGCCATTTTAGAGGGAGAAATGATAACTTAGGAAAATATACAGAGTTTCCAAAAAGGGTATGACTAGAAAGCTGAAGAAAATAAATATTTGGGAGTTCAACTGACTATCAAAGGGGATGGTTTTGATAATGAGCAGTTGGATTTATTAACAGAAAAAAAAATGGTGTACTGGTCAAATAGGCTACTGAATTGATAGGTTCTGATCCCAAGATATCTCTGTGGTTTTAACACAGCCCATGTGAGGACCAGCACTCTCTGATGCTTTCCAGTGTCAGGATGTGGCTGTGTTACCTCATGTCCTTGTCATTGATGACTTCAATCACTGGGCATGCCACTTTCTGTCTATTTATGTAAACTCTTTCCAGGAGTGGCTCCAACCAGCCCACATTACATTCCACATGAGAGTCTAAGAATGTCAACACATCACCTTCAGAGAAAAAAGAAAAAAAAAAAACCACTGGAAAATTCGATATGATACAGCATATGCCATGTATTATTGTGAAGCAATTCCTTGCATAGTTCATAATGGGGATCCAAATCTGCATTCACTCTCCACTTGGCCCAGGTCTTACCTCATTAATATTCTCATTCATTTGTTGCTAGGACCTGAGGGAAGAAGCACCTGCCGAAAACATATTTTGGATTTTATATTTTATTTGGAGGAAGAGGAAACTCTCCTACCCACGGATGCCATTGTCCACTTTCAGATAAATGTAATGGGAGAGCTTTGCTTTTTTGCCTGATCGCTCCACTCTTGCTAGTGAGTTTATCTACTCTGCTGCGGCTGCTGTACTTCCTTGCTAATACCAAACCCAGCTTCTTTGATTTCTAATGTGGACTATAGGCCAGTCTTGTGTAGTAGTTTCCTCTGAAATTAAAACTTTCTGTCTTGAAGGTAAATGTCTTAGGAGAGGATGTTCACAAAGAGGTGAAATAACAGAGTGTTCTAAGGGGAGGTGAAATATTGCAGGAAAGGTCCCTAAGACAGGAATTAAATAGCTCAAATACCTTCAGGAGGTCCTGATCAGATTCACTAGGCCCCACCATTACCAAAGGTATGCAAATAGTGGAGACTGCTGAGAAGAGTTTTAGACAAGGCCAGTTGCCTGAAAGAAGCAAAGGCCACAGACCAGCTGAGCTGCCTTGAAGAGGCTCAGACCAAGTGAGCCATCACAAAAGGACACTCTACAACCTGTTGAGCTGCCTACAGGCTATGCAGTGCACTCCAAGTTCCTAGCTTTTGTGAGCTCTCATCCATGCTGGGGTGAGCTGAGGTGATGCAGCTATCTCTGAGTCATTTCTGCTGCTACAAATGATCTGTCACCCTCAAACCTGTAAGTAAAACTGATAAAACTTATTGGCTCACTAAATTGGATTTTGCTGGTATCTTTATGGGCTCCCTATCTGAGCTGAGTAGATTTTGTGTTTCATTTCCTCAGGAAAAGTCGGTAATACAACAAGTTATTCTCCAGGAATTGTCTAGGCCTTCAGTGATGGACAAGACCACCGGAATGTTCAGCCTCATGGATTGAGTTTCTACTCTGTTCTCAGCCTCTTTGGTGTGAGTCAGCCATTGTTGGACTACACAGACTGTATCGTATAAGACATTCTAATAAATCTCCCTATGCTATAATTCCCTATGCTATAATTCCCTATGCTATCACTGCTGTTCTTTTAAAGAATCCTGCCTAATACACAAAGAGATCTAGTTTTATTTTGGCAAACCAATGGGGGTAATAAGAACATTTGAGAGGTCTAGTTACAAGAAAATAAGACTGCAGCAAGCATCATGAGAATTTATTTACTCCAAGCTGGTGGAGACCAGCAATGCCAGGGCTTCCAGAGTGGAGTGGTGCCTATAAGGAACAAAGAGTGGTATCAGGTGAGGATGCAGATGCTGGAGTCGGTGTCTGGGTGCAGATACGTATACTACCCTGATTAGCTTGAGAGAATGACAGTAATTATCCAATGACTGTACTTGTTTCACAGAAGCACTGTAAGGAGTAAGTCATTTGGTTTGGAGGCTATAGAGTGGCATCTGATTTACAAAATCTGCTATTGTGGGGCATAGAAAGATGTAAAATTGATAATGACTGTTTTGTCATCTCCAGAATATTGACTGAGATAAAGGATTCACCTTCCAGTCACTTCACAATGCTACTACAAAGAGACAATGAAATTGGCAGAGTGCTCGTTGGAACCATAGAAATAACTGGGGGGGAAAGAGGCAGCTTCAGAAAAGGGAGATATGAGGACCCGAGCATGAAATGATTCTCAAGTCTTTGAATACTTAGGGATTCATTTACAAAATTCTCAGGTTTAAATTGGTTCAGAGTGGTCAAATTCTGAACAGTTTGAACACTTAAGGAGAATGGTGGTTAGATATTCACATGGAATTTCTACTGAAACATAGTTACAGGGGAATTTGATGGGGAGAGGTTAGGAAGAGGGTAGAAGAGAGAGGGTAGGAGAAAAGAAAGGAGAGGGAAAGAGACTGGATCTTGGAGGGATCTTTATTACACAAGGAAGGCAGCTTAAAAAAAAGAGAGAATTATAGAAAAGTTGTTTTGTGAGCTCTCATTCTAATTGCCGATTCTAGCAAGGTCAGAAGTATATGCTCAGTCACTGTGTAAAATGTGTGAGCATTAGGTTAATCTTTGGAAGCAGAGGATTAACCGACAAGTTACTTCCAACCCCCAATGGAAAGGACTAGTTGTCAATATCATATTGAAGAGTGAGACAGCCTGACAGTATAAGGAAAATAAAAGAAATAGGCAACTGCTGTGACCTGGGGTCACATTGCATACGTTTCTCACACTCAAATCCTTTATCCTACAGGTAACGTAAGGACTGAAAGTTCAGAACATGGTCAGTTGCACAAGGAACCATGGAGTTGGCTTGGCCTCGCTGCCTCGAGAGGCATGCATCATAGGTTTTCCAGGTTAGGGCCCATGGCTCCTGGGGCACAATGTGCCTTCTAGTTTCTGAGAGACTGATGCACTCCCTCAGGCACTGATGTGTTCAGGCCACTTTGTGCCTCTCTGTATGTTGTTAGGAGTCAACGAAGCATGGAAGCTTGATGGGACAATTGGTCTTACGCTAATTTCAGTGTATTCTGGTTCTGATCATGGAAATTACCAGCACAACCTGTTGCTGATAAAGGTATAAAAATTCTGATTGCTCTCAATAAAATTGTCACGGCCTCAGTTATGGTGTGGCCCCTCCAAACAGCCTGATTTAATCCTTCACAGTCATATCAGGTGACTTTGTCCTGGTAAGTTCAGGCACTTAAACACTCGTACAAATATATTGTCTGAAATTTTAAAATAACACAGTATGTCAGTGCAATGTGTGAGACTGAGTAGATTGGCAGATGCTTATTTAAGAGAATGTCCTTATTTTTTTTTTCAATAATGCTCAGTAAAAATTCAGGTGTATAGTGTCATGGTATCATAATGTTTATGAATTTCTTTTCCAAGGCCCAGAAAATATGGCTAGTGTATCCATGACTCTCTCTCTCTCTCTCTCTGTGTGTGTGTGTGTGTATGTGTGTGTGTGTGTATGAGAGAGAGAGAGAGAGAAACAGAGAGAGAGAGGGGGAGGGAGAGAGAGAGAGAGAGAGAGAGAGAGAGAGAGAGAGAGAGAGAGAGAGAAAACATGCTTTTCACAAGGCTAAAAATCAATAGTCATAAGAGATGAACATGTGTATATTCCGGGTTGTATTCTCTCAAGCCCTGTCTGTTTTGAAAATATAATAAATGAATGGAAACACGATAAGAACAAAAGTGGAACAGTTTCTTACCTGTTGCGTTCTGTGCCCCTGCCAGCCTCGCTCTGATCAAGCCATGCCTCTCTTTGAGGCGAAGAATCCGAACTTTTGGAAATTGAGACATGTATTTATCCAAATTTTCTTTTAGGTACTCTATATCAGGATAAGAGCAAATACAGAATAATTAAATTAACTAGGTTTGCCAGCAGTGTCTTCACAATGGCAAATCCAAAGCCAAGTCATTCCAGTTACCAAACTGTATCTCTTGGGCCATAATTTTATGATGTCATCTTATTAAAAATATTTCATGTGGGCTCAATGTTCTAAAGTGATTAATTCCCCAAATCCAAGGTGGAAGCCTAAATCGTGTACAAATGTGAAAATTTGTGAGAAGCCAGCACAGGGATATTGCTTCAGAGTTACCATTCACTCTCTCACTTTTGTATAATGAATGATTTATTGAGTATATTAAAGGGTCAGGGTGCAGAGGAACAATCAGAGTGCCACATTTACACAGGCTGCTGAGGTCTCCATTTTAGAAGAGCTTGCTTCGTTGGAGTGAGTATATTTGTGGCAGTTTTGTGACATGTAATTTTCACCGTGGGAAGGAAAGCAGTCCTGGTTGATAGGCGTAAAGCTTGAGGAAACCAGCCTGAGGTGCCGTGTATGACTTTCAGTTATATAGTCTCTGCCTTGCAAGCAAGGACATTCCTGGTTATTCCAAGTTCACTTCTGGTTCACAGCTTTGGTAACAGAACTTAGGGCTTCAAACACCTTGCTTTTTTAGTTGGCTATAGGGGGAGGGATCTAGCTAATGAACATTTTAGAGATGTTTGAGGATATATTTACTGTTACTTCTGTAGCTATTAACAGCTTGACAGCTATCCTGGGTAGAAATGGCTGCTTCAAGATTTTTTTTTTTTGGAGACTGGATTTTATTATGTAGCCTAGGCTGAGTAGTTTGAACTGTTGATTCTCCTGCCTCTGCCCCCAGGTTCTAAGATTACAGGTATGTGCCACCACATCTGGTTTTTCTGGAATATATTTATAGTTCATTTTGTACTCTCTCTCTCTCTCTCTGTGTGTGTGTGTGTGTGTGTGTGTGTGTGCATTTCTTTTTTGTTTGTTTGCTTGTTTGGAGACAAGCTTTCACTTTGTAGCCCTGGTTATTTTGAAACTCACTCTATGGACCAGGCTGGCCTTGAATTCAGAAATTTTCCCACCTCTGCTTCCTGAGAGTTGAGGTTAAAGGTGTGCGTGTCACCACCACCTGGTTATGTGTGTATGGGTTTCTTAAAGAAGATCCTGAAACTGTACAAGATTCAGGGTTCATAAATACTCATTAAAAACAGACTTCACCAATCCAATAGTTTCTTTTTGCTCCGTAGCTGGTTATTATCTCTGCGTTACTATCAAGACCACTCATTAGCATTTTCAGTTCTCTCCTGGCATCTGATTGCTGCTTGAGTTCACTATGGTTGTGGAGCAGTAAGAGAACCAAATGAAAGCACACACATCACTGTGGTTACAGATCAAGGTTCAGTTGTTCTTTAACATCACTATTCATTTGCTGATATTTCTAATTCAAAAAAAATGTGTGAAAATTTGGAAATTCACACTATGGTTATCAATGGGCCTCTGAGACTTCCTATACAGGGATTATAATTTGGCAATGTAAAGAGCAATATTCAAACAATGGGATCCTAAAAACTGTGAAAGGTTCTGCTTCCACATTGCATTAGAACCACTATCTTTCTGATCCTTTGAAAATGCGACTTCTCCATGTTTAACTGGACAGGGGACCTTCCTTGATCTTTAGAAGAAGCCAGGGGACTTCCATTTCTTTGCTTTCCATGGAGTTTAACTTCGGCTATTGACAATAGAAAAAAATTCTATTAACAAGTGGACTTTACTCATTATAGTCCATGAAATATGACTTGCTCATCACCTTCTGGACTCAAGTGACCATTTCAGAGAGTAGAAGCATTAAAAATCACTGAAAAATATCCCTACAAGGCAGAGGAGTCACGATGGGAATGGCTGAGACATCCAGGACGGCAGACCCCTGGATGACCAGCGATATTCTTAAAGATGTATTTGTGGTATGTGGTATATCTGGGTACCACACACATGCAGTGCCTATTGAGGCCAGACGAGGATGTTGGATTCCCCTGAAACTATAGTTACACTCTGCACTGCCTTGTCAGTGCTGGGGTTTGAACCCAGGTCCTCTGGAAGAACAGCTGGTGCTCGTAACTGCTGAGTCATATCTCTAAGCCTCAGTTAATAATATATTATCAGTGCTTAGATTTATGTTTTCATGGCTCGACATGAAGCAATAATTTGGCATTTACAAATACTTAACTTCATTACATTAAACCTCTAAACCCAAACTACTGTGGCCTTCCATCAAACTTGACTTTTGCAAGAATAGCCTAAGGCAGTTTTCTTACCTTTGGTGCTGAAGTCATCCACCAGCAGAATCTCCTTGATGAGGTGTGGAGGAGAGCGGTTAAGAACACTGTGCACAGACCTCAGGAGAGCGGACCACACCTCATCTACAAAGCACATGATGATGCTGGTGGTTGGGAGGTCATTGTGAACTAGCTGCTCTGCACACCTGGGCCAGAATATAAGCACAGCTCAAGAGATAGACCACTGAGTTTGCAAAGGGCCCTAAATAATCTGAATAGACATACATAAATATCTATCTGTCACTAATTTATATGTGTATCATGATCATCTTGTATACTTCAGCAATAGTATTTGTTGAAATGTCCAACAGGGACAGACATGAAGCCTTGGGCTACTCCTGCAAATGTAGTAGTACAGATTTGGAGGTACAAGACTGCAGTGAAAATGATAGGGGATTGTAGGAGGATAGATTCTACTTTAATCCTACCACCAAGATATTAACCTCAATAATAACCTGCTTACTCTTTCTGTGCCTCAGTTTTTACATCTGCCAAACAAGGTGATGGTGCTCTAAGAGTTTCAGAGACCAATGAACAGGATAGAAGTCATCTACTGTAGTTCCTGGTACAGGCATTCACTGAACGGTAGCTATTGCCATCATTATTCAATTATATAGCAGAAGAGAGCATTCTGAGTTATTTAGTGTTACTAAGTAGTTTATGATCGCCTGTATAAATAGCCATCTGCCAAATGCCAAAAGAGATATCCTTCACGCCACTCAGCATATGAATGTATTTATGGTATAATATACATGAGCCAAATAATTGCACTCTTTCCCACTTCTGTATTTGGAAGTTTCTTGCTGTGACTACTGCAGAGTAGCCACACTTGATGTCATTTTGCTGGCATGGAAATGAGAGCCAGGCTAAGAGGGAGCAGGTGCTTGGTGGGCTGCACCTGGCCAAGGTTTCCTACAGGCTCTGCAGCTCATGCTGCTTCACTGGGGCATTTTCTGTGTCTGGCTTGTGTCACTCTTACAGGATAGCTCCTATTGGGACCTTCTGAATTATATCTGCCATTCTACTAACATAACTCCTCTTAGGGACATAACAACTAACTATGGATGTAATTAAATACTTAAATACTCTGCTTTATTTCAATGTAAGCCTCAGACCTCTTTGCCTTTTAGTATGATGAATGGCTGAAGTCACAGACACACTGGCTCTTGATTGTGTTGTTAGTAATTCCCAGATCTGGGACTGAAACTCTGGTTTCCCCTAGCTCTAGAGGTAACCATGAAAGCTTTAATCCTTAGAGTAAAAATAGCTAGTAGTTGATGCACCATTTGTGAGAAGCAGAGCTTCTGTTAAGTACTGTGGCTCAGTTTTGTTTATTTAATGAACAAGACACAGATAAAAGCAAATGCTATATAGTTAAACAAATAACATCCACTTGTTTTTTTTTTGTTTATGGTTGTCAAAGTACTGTTGTGAATGCAATTTAATTAAATACCATGGCAATTGCCTGAGATGCAATTGTGTAAAGTACTATCACATACTTCTTTAAATGCCACAAAATGAAGCATGAGACAATCAGTGACTCACCCAACATCATTTACATGGTTATAATATACATAGGAATGTAAAATGATGTAGTTTTCATTTCATTGGTCTACAATGATTTTACACACTAATAGAGTGTGGATTGGGAATAAAATAAACATATTGTCACATATCACTTATCCCTAATTACTGGCTTGGAGAAATTGCATAACTTTTTGAACTTTAATTTGCCAACTACAAAGAGGGACTAAAAACCATTCTTGCTTAAATATATACATAATACAGAGATTTGTTTTGTTTTGTTTTGAAAAAATACAAGCAAAGCCACTACAGTTTATAATTTCAGTCTTTTCCTTTTGGTTAGCACAATAACCAAAAGGCCTTGGGAAAAACACATATAGAACCTTCAGCCCCAGAAAAATGTATTCAGAAAGTTTGCATAGAAATTGAGAATCTTTGTCATAAATAAAATAAGACACAGAAGAATGACTCACATGTCACTGATCAATCAGTGGGGATGTAGGTTTTTACATAAAGCTATCTCAGTATCTCATAATATGTGATTAAACTTAAGAAAACATTAGAGGGCTGAAACAAACATCTACTATATTTTCAGGTGCCAGAAAGTCAAAGTTACACATTTCAATCAGATGTCTTAATCTGATGCTAATGTTAACGTAAAATGACACACTTCGTAAATTAATCTTATTCTGTACAAAGAACATCTGTATTGAAATGTCTATAAAGTGTAAGCATTCCTATTATTTAAGGATTACATTAATTATGTGTGATTGCTTAACACCTGAGATTTCTGCTCCACAGCTTCTCCTAATTTATCTATCCTGGCATACATTTTGCTATAAGCAGAAAGAAAATGTTACCAGGGCATAACTTCAAAGCTGTGCTTGCTGCTCTCTTTAACAAATGTCCAAGTTCATCACCTCCAACTTCAGCTCATTTTTATGTGATAGAGGACACAATTTAGCCAAGTTTCCTGCTACTATGTCACTCACATGACCTCTTCCCCAGTTTCCTTTTACTTACTGCTCAGTCCCTACAAGCCATGATGAGAAACACTTCCAGTACCCATACTTTGACAAATATCTTCTTATGATGACATTATGTTCACAGAGGTGATAGAAATGTCCTCTATAGTAGATGCTTCATTTTCTTCTGACCTTCACTGGCATCCTTAGCATTCATATTGTGTCTACTAACGTCTCAGAAAAAAGATTCCAGATGTTTTCTATTATGGTTGGCCAAATTCTGCCAGCCTTTGCCTTGTATTTACTAATTGCCAGTTTTGTCACACAGCATTCACTTTTTTGTTATGCAAAGAATTATTGAAGACTGTGGGAATTAGGAAGTAAATACACCTTTGAAAAGCCATTTCCATCAGCCCACCCCAAGACCTTAAGAAGTTAAAGCAGGAAATTGCTTTTATTTGGGAGGGGCAACATGTCTATATGTCTTTAAATGTGGGACTCCCTCTCCCTCTAATTCAAAGGTAGGTTTACTTACAACTTAAATGTTAAATTAGCCATTTACTCTCATTTTTTCTTTTCTTCTTAAAAAAAAACTACACTCAAAGCTTCTTTAAAGTTTATCATTTTTGCAGAAATCCAATGAAATATTAATTGTAATTCTTTGCCATGAATTAAATATTGACATTCAAATTTAGGAAAGAATTAGGATAAAGAAAGACACCAATTGCAGGCTTTCCAGGTATTCATAAAAGAATGTGGTCGACAGTATAATCACCAGCAGTTGAAGGACAATTTTGGAAACAAAATTACATTCTGAAATTTATCTTCTAAGGGAGCTTATATCTCTAAGGCAAGGTCTCTGTTCTCAGAAGCCATGGTGGAGAGCAGGAGAGATTGCAGTGATGAGAGGGTGGTTCACTGAGAAGGGAATGGGTGGGGCTAGAGTACAATGGTTAGTACAAGCCAGATGCAGGAACAGACAGGGTTATGTAGACTAATTTTTAAGAAGGAAGCAGAAAGCTGCTAGGTGGAAGGGAGTCAGCCTCTGTTTTTCCCTTTCCTGAGGGATGAAGCCATGTTTACGGATGTGAGGTATAGTACAGATAGAATTAAGTGCTGACAAAAAATATCAATGGTTGTCAAAATTATCAGTGGGGCAGGCTTTCCTTAGGTTGATCAACCTTATGGTGTCAGTTGATTCAACAGATATGTCTAGTCTCTTTGAGACATTCTCTATATTTTCCTGATCTCAAGAGATTTCATACTCATCTGATTTTCATCCTCTCCTCATGATATTTTCCTTCATTTTCTTTCTTAGTCCTGTCAAAGTCTAGCTGCTCTATTATTCTGTTATAGCTACCTCAATTTCCTTCATATCATCCATTTGCCAATTTTATTTCCTTCTTGTCTACATGCCAGAGTTCTTGAATGTATGTCAAATCTGCTTCCATCCTGTATTACCACAAACTTCCAGGAGTGTTGCACATAATAAATATTCGATAAATCATATTGAATGGATGAATGAGAGGCCAGAGATGGAGTAGAGATTAAATTTAAAGCTTGAAGCAAGAGAGTGAGAGGAAGATTTTCCTTTGAGACAGGGGGAGAAAAGGCAATAATGACAATATATACAGGTAACTTCATATGCAGGGCCAAAAACCTATATTTTTGTTGGGTAATTTTTAATCATCACACAGGACCTGTAGATTCTAAACTATTTTTTAAAATATTGATTCATTTATAAGCATGGGTATTTGCCTGCAAGTATGTATGTATACTACATGCATGGAGTGCCTTTGGAGGCCAGAAGAGGGTGATGGGTTAGCATTATAGGTGGTTGTGAGCTGCCACATGGGTGCTGAGAAGAGAATTAAATCTTGGTCTTCTGCAAGATCAGCCATCTCTCCAGCCCCATGAACCTATAGATCCTAACTTGTGTGATAGTATGTAGAACAAACAAATAAGTTCATTATCTGAAAAAGAAGTACACTCCTGGAAATATCTTGCAATTTTAAGTTAGACTTTTGTTTCAATCCCTTCTCCTTTAAGGAAACAGAAATTGGGGTTTCCAATGGGAAAACAGGTAATTTGCTTTACTGGATTGGTGTAAGAAAACTAAGAATGTTCTGGAATTCAAAGGAGAAATCTCTTCTACATATACACCCAGAAGACTTTCTTGTGCTTAAAACGGGGCATGGCCGGAATCACATAAAACTGCTGGTTTGGGTGACCCAGCGTTAGGTCATACACATTCAGGAACTTGACCTTCTATATCAATACACAGGTTAAACATGTGCCAAGATTCTAACAAACCACTGTCCTTGTTGTTCATTAGCAGGCACAGTAGGTCAGAGTAGACAGCTTTCAGCACTAGTAACACTTGCTCCTGGTGGTGTTCTTTTGATACAACTATTGCCTATGAAACACAAACACGAGACTCAGCGTCCATGTGGAGTTTATTGAGAGGGGGGAGACAAAGGGGGGATAGCTGTTGGCCAACCGAAAGCAGGAGAGAGAGAGAGAAAAAAAAAAAAGAGCAAGAGAAAGAGAAGGAGCCAAAGAGGGAGGAGCCCTTGCTTTAAAAGGGAAACCTGCACATGCATAACTGAGTCCTCTGGCAGCCAGGTAAAGCCTAAGGTAGCAATGACATGGCCATG